AATATATTTCAGCAAATGACTTTGTCAAAAAAGAAATACAACAAACACTACAAAAACGACAGCGTCATCCACATAATAAAGAATGAAAACATTGACATTTCACACTGAATCAGTTTATGTTTACTCTACTTTCTATTTAAACAATGTCAATGGCTAAGATAGCCATGCTAATGTTACTCTACATATTATACTATAGGATACATTGGCATACATTTGGATTTTCTTAGTTAGTACATCCACTGGCTGTAAATTTACCTGTGAAACGGGTTCCCATAGCTAGAAAAAGGCTTGTTTTTGCAGCCAGATGCTACACAGGCAGGCATTGCTATGGCTCGTCTCCGTGGGAGTGGGGAGTACCAATATGCCGGCCGATTACTTCATTTTTTGGGGCTATCAGCAATTGACTAAATAAACAGAGATCAGCAGAGGGAAGCCATAGTGATGCTAAGCTAGCCTAGGCCAGTCAGTCCTTTCTACCAGAAATAAAAGCATGTAAAAGCGACAAGTGCTCAGTAGAGAAGTGCAGCAGAAGGTTCTATGTTTTAAAGTGCTTCTGGACAGTTAGGGTTACAGAGATATCACAGAAAAAAAAGATCTTCATTCCAACGGAGATAGCCTGAACAACAACGCAGCTCAGCAGTAAAAACAGGAAGTGAACACAATACGTCTCACCAACAGAAGCAGTATTTGGTCTAGTGGCAGGGTCTGCATAACTCACATGCATCATTTGATTTAATCAACTAAATCACTTTTGGTAGAAGAATATAATAGCACTAATTTTGGTTTGCAGGCAAAAAATGGATCCCTTCACAGGCTAACTTAGAAGCAAAAAATGTGTATGACATGGATCCGCATCCATAGACAAAGAGAGGAGAAGGAACTTCAGATTGGATTCAGGGAGCTTTTAAACCTTTCTTTGTGATCCCTAACCACTTTTATAGATGACCTCAGCCAGAGCTAACACATCTTTCCTTCTCTCATTTTACTCAAAACTAGTATCACAGGTGTGAGTCCCAGTCTGTTGACCTTTGCCAAAGTCCACTAGTGCCACAAATATCCAAAGAAGAGTCTGAGACAGAGGTGGATAAACCCCAGGAAGTAAAAACCCTTGTTTTCCTTCTCCCTATTCCTTTAATGTGGAGCTTGAAATGCAAATGCTTGTGACTGATTCGTGTAGAGGCTTTTTACTTCCTTGACCTGGACTATCCACCTCTGGTCTGACATGTAAAAGCACATCTAACGCTGCTGTTGACGTCTTGTAGGTGATTGAAGCTCTTTGAGCAGTTCATGATATTCTGGTGAATTTCTGGAGTAAAGATTTGCCTTGGTCCATTGATGAAGATCATCTCTGGTCTTCTGATCAATGACTCCCATCTCGCAGTATTTATCCAACAGCAGTTTCTCCCCGATGGCATGATATCTCCTGGTTGCCTCTTTGGATATGAAGTCAACTCCTTTCTTTTGCTGAATTCCTGTGCAGACACCAAACATTAGCAGACTAATGGAAAATGATTTCAATATTTTTGACCGATAATGAAACATTTTGCTCCTGCTTTCTGTTTCTTTTAACTCTTGGACTTCTCTGCTGTGTACCTGCATCCCTCCTGAGAGACTGGGACATCTCTGGGTTGGCCACTATCATGGACATCTTCATCAGTTTATCAGCGTCACCAGAAAGCAGGACTTCTGTGAGCTTTTCCCTGCAACAAAGGAGAAATGAAGTCAGCAGAGAGCTGAGATCAGCTGATAGCTGACCTGACCTCCTCACCTGACTATCTGGGACCCTTTGCTGTTGCCAGTGGTTAGGGCCTGATGGTGATGCTCTGTAAGAACCTCTCTGCAGAGCCCACCATTACCATTCCTTTTAATCATGGCATAAAGTTTGAGGTTCTTTGATTCAATGCTCTTCTTTAGGTCTTGGTTCTCTGGTTTCTGGAGCATCTCATGAGCCATCTGGAAGGTATTTTTAGGAGGGATGTGATCTGCATTCACTGGAGAAGTGTTATTGTTGTTATTCGCTGCAATGTTCGATCTGTTCGTCTTCCGTAGACCTTTGATACTGGAACAAACAAGCAGCATTAATCAGAGAGGATGATGTCCGTGACGGAGGGCTACTGTTGTTGGACAGGGTGAACTCACTCATCAAAGCTTCCAACCAGACCAAGGTTGTAGGTTTTTATAACAGAGATGTCCTCTTCTGGTATGTCCTCCATCCCGGTTGTGTTCATTTTGTCCCTGAACTTTTCTCTGCTTGCTTGTTGCGTCTTTCTCCCTCCTCCGCTGATCTTGTATTTCCCTGGTGTTGTGTGCGTTTCTTCATACCCTCTCTGCAGGTTCAGAGCTGCGGCATAGCTGTGTGTGTCATGCAGGAGCTGAAAAAAGACGACAGAAAGAATCTACTAACAATCCTTAGGAAACAGATTTAAAACCAGTCGTCCACCTGCAGGCAGACACTACACATTCCTGCCGACCAACAAAAACAAAAAAACAACCTGCGGCACATTTTATAGACAGCTTCAGCTGCAGCTGCACATTACTGGATGTACTGCACACTGCATGTTGTCCTGGATCTACATCTTTGAAATCTACTCTAAGGTTGGCTGTTCTTTCTTAAGTATTTCTCATTTTCGTCCATCAGATTTTGAGCCAAATTTCATTATGGTGACATAATGATAAACACGCTTGATTCTAACTATAATAAATCATAACACTGGGCCTGTATCTAGGTTATAAAACCTCGATTATTGTAGATTTTGAACCCTTTTTTGTGTTATCAAATTAGCTCCGTTTCTGTTTTGCTGAGACACCTTCAGCTAAGGTCCTAATAGTTTCCCATTTTTGTTTTCATAGGTCATAAGTGACCTTTTGGGATGGGTGGACGTTGCTGGAAGTCTTGACTTCTTTTGTTGTGCTCAATATTTGAAAATACTCACAGATTCCTTTACTTTGTTTCGAAGGTTCGCTGCCTCTTGTCTCAGATCACCTGGATTGTCACTCGTTGCCTGAACCACGGCGTGATACAAGCAGTTCTGACCTGCTGAGTTCACTGGGACCACAGAACCATCTGGCCTCAGAATTTCAAAATGGCCCCCATAGGGCCGTGTTTCACCAGCGAGCCGTTTCATGAGCCCCCTTAAGATGCGTCAAAGACAAACAAATAAAACATTAGAAACACATAAAAGGAACTAACTTAGAAAGATTTTAACGAGTCCACGAGAAACAGAAATCTATTTTTCAACTGAGGTGTCTGCACTCCTTCAGCCTAGTATTCCTCTTTTGTGAAAAAAACACTGTAAGTACAGAAATAAATCTGTAAGAATTCTTACTTTCTCTTTTGTTTATATTTGAAATGTCATTGGCAGCACAGTGGATCTTGAAATCAGTTTCATTTTTGCTTTCACAGTTTTAATGAGAAAGTGGATTTGGGTTCTGTTTGTTTTGGGGGAACAGGAGCCCTTGCGTTCAACCATAAACTCCTTTATACACAAAAGTAGTCTAGTCTACCTGTGAATCAAAGCCCATCTTAGGCCCCCTCCATATGAATGCCGCTGTTTTCCTAGGCTGTATCCAAAGAGATAAGCTGGGACACCATAAACAGACCCTTTTGAAACTGGCTCAGACTGGAAATATGTCTTAATGTTTTGTTGTAGACATTTGAGCCATGGCTTTGTTCTAACAATGACTTTGAAGCTCCCACCCACATCATAAACTCATTTTTGCCACCATGTTGGTGTGTTAAACGTTGCTGAGCCATCGGAGAATGGCCGTTATTTTTGTCTCGATGCGATTCTAGGGTAGAGTAACAGCATCGTTAACGGGTCGACATCTATACTTCAGCATCTAGAGCAGTGACAATTAGGGGTATGTGTACCCCTAGTGGTCCGCGAGTGCATTGCAAGGGGTACATTAAAATATTCTTATTTCTTAGGTAGTTAAATAAATTAGATAATTTTTTCTTTGTTAGGACCCAATTGAAAAATTAAACAAGCTTTTATCAACCAAAAAGTTATGTTTTCTTATATGGTTGAGTTCACCCTCAGCTGGGAAACACATCCAAACCAAGCAGAGGAACAGACTGGATGTAGAGAACAACATATAAAAACAAGCCTTGTTGGTCTTTGTGGCTTTAGTTTATCCACTCACTGTCCATGTAAAGTCATGTCATTGCTGAACACATTGCATAGTTTGAGGTCATTTTGGATTTTATTTGAATATCCTGATACATAAAACCAAAAAACTGAGGGCATTCTTTACGGTTTAGATGGGGGGATTGCTGGAAAGTCAATGGGGTAATTTTTTCTGAACTAATGGGATAGAAGCAAACTTAGAATCAAATTTATTGACACTTCTGGGCAATTACAGTAAAATGCTTTATTCACTGAATATGTTTAAAGTTGTCAACCATTACTTACTGTTTTGTTGTTTCTGGATCTTTCTTCAGTTGGAGGACAATGTCTTCTGCAGAACTGTCTTTTCCTGGAAAATAATCCTCTGAGAGCTTCTTCTTATCTGCATCCACAACTATCACCCTGATGCCTCTGCCTTTGATTTTCGCATTCAGAGCATCACTCTGAGTGAGGACATGGATGTCCAAAGATGAAGCAGGATGATCCACATCACAAATATCCTCAATGTAACAGTGAAGATCCTGTTTTTCCTCCTCTGATAGAGATGCACATGGGCTTTGGAAGACCTTTCTCATTTGGTGTTTATGCAGCTGATTGTCAAAGAAACTTTCGGTGTGAGCCCTACCAAGTAAGTTGCCAACAGCAGTACCAGCTGCACTGTTTATTTTGGTCATGCCAGCTCTGGTTATGATGGAGGTCATGTGTCGTGAGCAAGCTTCAACAAATGAATCTGAGACACTTTTAGCCATAATCTGGAGCATGTCTGTCTTAAGTCGCTTCACATCAGATAATGTGTGTCTCCCATCCTTATCATACTTCTTCTGTGGCAGCTGATCCATGCTTTTCAACAACTTGGGCACAAATGTTTTATCAATGATCTCTTTTGTAGGAACTGACTGCAATATTTCCACACAAAGTTTGATATACTGAGCTGATTCCAAAGCCTTCATCAACAATTTCATCTCTTTCTGCTTCTCCATGCGACGCGTTATAGAACCACAGACATCTGAAAGTGTATCAAGAACTTTGCTGAGCTGGGTACAGTCCATCATCAGGCAAGGGATTATGTCTCGTGTCATAATGTCCACTGACAGAAGCATTTCATTCTCACATTGCATATCTATTTTGAAGTCAGTGAATCCCTCCTTAATGGCAGTTTTTGGTACTGCTGAACAAATGAAGTTTGTTAGAGCAGAATCTAGTCGGCTATTAGATTTAATCATCGCATGGACTTTGTCCCTGAAAGCCTCATTCAGGATCTTTTCAAGTAACGCTGTAAGTCCACTGTTAACAGCATAGCTGAGAGCAGCGACACAACCCTGCTTGCCAAGTTCCTGAAAAGCATATTTCCCTGCATGCTTAAAGCACTCTTTCACTGTAACCACAGAGCTACATTTAGCCCCAGTCATCAGACCTTTAGCCCCACTTTTCACAGCACTTGCAGCTCTGCTCAGTTTGCTCAATCCACCAAAGACAAGAGACACTCCAATGCTGATAGCTTTGGCAATTGCCCACTCTGCCCAGTCAAAGCCTCCTTGTAGCATCCCCTTTATTCCATGAATCATGTCGGAAACACCTTCACTGATTAGTCCAAATCCAAACTGACTGGCACTCCCATAAGACAGAGTGCAAACAAGAACCCCTAATGCCACTTGGAGAACTCCAAGACAGAAACAGGCAAAGGCATCGATTGAAAACTCTGGCTTCTTTTTAACCTCAAAAACGATGCAGAGGCCAAATTCATGAAGTACCATTAATTCATTAGTGGTAATGGGGTCTTTGTCTTTGGAAAGACTGTAAACACTGGAGTCCTCTAAAACTGGCTCTCCTTTACTTTGTTCAATGTGCTGGAGGGTGTTCATGGCATTTTCAATGTATCCTTTCCAACATTTAAAGACATTCATCCTGGCTTTCATTTGGGTCTGCAGGTTACTATCTTTGTGGTGGGGTAAAAAGTCATTAGTGACTGCAAGACTGCAAAACATCATTGTGTTTGTTGATTCTGAGAGGTACACATCTACAGCAGTCTTTGCTTTTTCTAACAACTGCTTTGCTTCAACTTTGTAGCCACTCCTTTGCAGGTTGACCGTGATGTATGCCTGGTTGTAAAATGCAACAGCACCATAGAAAGGATCACATTGCTCAGCACTCTGCCAGTAACATAATGCTCCAAAGTCACTTTCCTTTCTGTTGCTGCGGTGAAGGTAAGTTCTACTTTTTGCCAATTTGATATAATCATAGAAGTTTTTGCTTCTCCCCTTTAAGATTTGATCAGCAATTGTCTCTAGATCTGTGATCAAGCTTTGTTTCATGAGATTGATATCCTCATGCTTCCTGAGTTTCTCTTCGTGGAGGATGAGCCACAGGCCCCATGATTCTTTCAAAACATTAATTGCCGTCTCATAATCAAACTTTTGACGATGGCTCTTAAAACACTCAGGAAGATCTTTCATCTTCAGCTTTGAGATGTCCATTCTCTCCTCCTCTGTGTAGTTGTTATCAAAGGCAGAGAGAAATTCAAGAAATGTGGAAAAAAGATTTTCCTTCATTTCAATTTGAAACAGTTCATTTTCCTCCATACCGCCTAAACGTCTTTCTTCGTATTTCTCTCTGAGTCGTCTCATGGTTTCCACTGAATGGCCTTGGTATGCTGGTGCAAGAAGATCCTGGTGGAGAATCATCTGCGCCATCCCGGGGTTTCCTTTGCGGGCAGTGCGTCCAAATACTTGTCTCTCCACACGATAACTTCCGGGGAAGTATGTGAGAAGCACAAACAGACCTCCGCACTCATTGACTTCTTGGTGAACAAGTATGTCGGTCCCTCGACCTCCAAGATTTGTAGCAATAATGATGTGTCCCTTTCTGAAGGTTTCATTTTCAATGTTGTGCTTGGTACTTAATGTATACATGGTGATCTTAGCAGGTTGTCGTTCTTTAACATCTACTCTACTCCTTAGCTCCTCGGCAGTCTTGACATCCTCACAGATAATCAAAACAACTTGGCCTCGGTCTGCAGCTTGCCATGTCCTTTCACAGATCACCTGGATCCACTCAGTTTTTCCTCCACTCACCTGAACTGCTGGCAGTTCTATACACTTTTTATGACGGTGAGCTGGAACGATGTAAGTGGCAGTGTTGTACTGTCGTTTTAGAAAAGCTTTCTCAGCTTCACCTCCTAACGTCCCAGAGACTCCAAATATGCCATTGTCAGTGAGGTACTTTTTAAAGAAGTGGACATTTGACATGTAGTTTGTTACATTGGACAGTTGTGAAACTGCCAGTTGGTGTTTCATCTCCAAAAACTGTTGCAGACCTTCACCCCAGCGCTTATTTTTCTCCAGTACCCCGCTGGCCTGGAAGTCCACTGGAATTATGGCATCATAATGATGAGTGTTTTCATAGCAGAAACCGGGTCTGTCTGCTTCAGGTGCCTTCTCAATCATGTACTCTCTTCCTGGTGCCATTTGAATGGCTCTTAAGGCATTCTCTACAAAAATCGGCAATTGATTTTCAACATATTTTTTTAAGAAAGATGGTATAACAATACATCCTTGAGTTTTCTCCACTGAGTTTAAGGAACACTCACTGGAATACTTAAGTCTAGAGTTCAGTTCTTTAACTGTTGATTCCATAAGGGATTTCTCAGACATGATCTCACAGGCACATCCTTTCTGAAGAAGAAGCATTTGGACATCGGGTTCTCTGGAAGAATTTTCCTTACAGTACAGCTTTGCTTTGTTGTTTACAAGTGAGTAACAATCTACTGTAACACCATCGAGCACTGCTGTCTCAAGCTCCGTGAACAGCTTATACTGCTCTCGCTGTCCCAGCTTGGCCATAAATTGTCCAATAACTTCTCTCTTGGCATCTTCAAGGCTTTCATCATCTGTCTGAGTTTGATTCATTGCTTTAATTATTTCATTGAAATCCTCATTTGAATAAAGGCCTAGCTGCACACCCAGTAAGAGTATGTCAGTTTCTGAAAAGTCTGATTCTGAACCAACCACAGCCTGCTTGGCCACCTTGTGACAGTACTGGATCCTTGTTCCCCATTGGATCTCACCTGTTTCAAATATTTCTATTGGACGGCAGGCAGACATTATGGCCCAGATGCTTGCAAGAACTTGTTCCAGATGCCTCAGTCCATTGGCTTGATGTGACAAGAAGGTTACCTGGACTCCACTGTCCAGCGTCATATAGTCAACTTCATCCACAATCACACAATCAAACTTCCTCAGTCCTCGGGTCTTTTTCTTATCAAACTCTTGCCTCAGTACATCTGCAGCAAAGGTACAAACAGTACCATAAACTATTTGCATGGAATATGCTTCCTGAAGTAGCTTGTCATGATCTTCAAATGAACTTTTAGCATGATGCTGTGGAGGAACAGTAGATGAGGTGACACCAAATACCTCATAGAGTTTCTTCCACTCATGTTGATCACGTATTGCAAGCAAAGGGGAACTTGTCACAATATCTACTGCTGTACCTCGTATAGCCTGGATTGTGGCAAACATGGCTAGAATGCAGGTCTTACCTTCGCCTGTTCCAATTTCCAGGAGGCATCCACTTTTATCCTTGGACTGTGGTAGCAGCAGTAGCAGTAGCGATGCAAGCTGAGTCAGCCTGGGGAAGTAACCCTGAACTTCCTCTCCACTTACACTGATGAAGTTTGTGCACTTCTTCACAGCTATGGACATGACTACGAGGATGGTCTTTAACATATCGTAGTTGGGGTTTTCAAAATCTATTGAAGCTATCCAATTTTTACAGTCTTCAATCAAGTTGGACTCCAGTTCCACTCCTTTACATCTGGGCAACACTTCTCCAACATATTGAAGAATATCTTCTAGTTGTGAGAGAAGATGCTCTGGGTAGTTATTTTCTTTCATTTCACTCAAGATACTCTCAAGGTCCTTGTCCATCTCAAAGGATATACAGTCTTGTAAATATGTTAGAGGATCTTTGTGCTTTAGTGATTTGAGAGCCTGTATGCAGCTTAGACTAAAGGTGCATATCATCTGCAGTATTTTTGAGACTTTGTCCTGATCCATGCTTCTTGTCCGTCCAATAAAGAGTTTAATTTCTTTCGAAGTCCAAATGTTGTTAAAAAGAATTTGACTGAGAAATTCCTTGCTTTGCTTTGGCAGCACTGAGGTCATTTCAAGAGTGTTAACTAAAACCTGTCTAGCAAGAGTTGGGTTAGAAATCTGCAATTGATCTTCCAAACAGAGAAGAAATTTGATTTTTCTGTCTTGTCCAGTTATTGGCTCAGGCTCAAGGTCTAGGATGCCCTCTAGAGTAACCTTGACCACTGCCTCCAAGACACTAAACCGCTCAGTCAGGGAAAGGTGTACATATCCAGTGGCCTGATCCAAAGCCCACTGTGACCAGATGGGTATATTGTGCTCCGTTAGGTAGTTTGATAGTAGCTCATTTTGGAGAGACTTCATTCTGTCTTCAAGGCTAATGTTTGTTTTTTCACTCTCTGTGATTTGGTAGCTTGATAGAAGTTTTTCAAATCTTTGCTGCACATCTCCAAACTGCATGAAAGATTGTTAGCATAATGTTAATGTCAAACTTAAAATTTCAAATTTTACAGAACAAATCCAGAACCTCTAATGATGTCGTGGGTAGATGTTAAATATCCGTTTGCCTTTAAAAAAGTAAATATTTCAACAATTGGGTAAAGGCATATATTTATGGAGCTAAATTGGTCTCATTTTTCACAAATACACATATGTGATTCATACATGAACTGGACAACATCCATACACACACAGCACGATTCACGCAAGCACAAAAAAATCCACACACAGCACGATTCACGCAAGCACACAGAAATTCACGCAAACACTGTAAAAGATTCACACACACAGCACCATTCATGCAAGCACAAACAAATTCACACACACACAGTACAAGGTCCACACACACTCAGCACCATTCATGCAAGCATGCAAGATTCACTCATGCACAGCACATGATTTGCCAAAGTATTTCTGGTCCATATGCAATTATAAATTCAATTACAAAGTACCAGTGGTCTTTAAACTTCACTGCATTTGTGTGGATTTTTGAGACTCTCCCGACGTTTTTTTTAAACAGGGATGTTTTGCAACCAATCACAGAGCTCCCTTGTATAAGTCAAGTTTTTTTCAGAGTTTGTGCATAAAACTAAAAAAAAACAATTCACTAGGTTTGTTACACACATTAGGTTTAAAAACAATTATAGGGAGAGGATTCTACAAGCCAGTTGACAGGATATGAGATTTATTTGTTTTTAGTTTATTTAATATAAGCAACATGCCGATCATTTATTTATTTTTACAACACATGAAGAACTACTGAAATTATTTTCAGATTACACATAAATATATTAATTATTTCCGCAGGGGGAAGGAATTTTTGTTTTTAAACCTAATGTGTGTAGCAAACCTAGTGATTGATTTTTTTTTTGTTTATTGATGCACAAACTCTAACAAAAACCTGACTAAATTACGAAATAAAACAGTGTGATTGGATGTAAGGAGTGCAGAGACAGGGGAAATTCTATGTAATACGTATTACTAAGATTATGCTGCCCTGTATATTGACAGAACACCGGGCTGGAGTGGAGCAACTAATCATCACACCTGGATTACTTTCTTGTGATTGGCTTATACAAGGGAGCACTGTCATTGGTTGCAAACCATTCCCTGTTTAAAAAAAATGCATTTGTGTATTGATGCACGTCAGGAGAGTATGGGAGAATTATCCTGCCATAATGCAAGAGCACATAATTTCAATTTGAGAAAAGAATTTCATCTTCTTGTCCTCAAAACTTAAAATGCTCACACTTAAAACACACTTTTCTCTTCTCTCTTATTTCTTCTCTCAGATTTAATGCTTCTTGCACAGATATTTTCTGCTCTCGCTTGCCTCCTTCTCTTTGCGCACAAACCGCGCTCTGCCCGAGTCTCAGATACGCTCGCAAAACCGTAGGCTCTGCTTGCGGATTTTTTTTTGCTCTCTCTCAGATTGCAATCGGATCGTCGCCTAGCAACCTTTCCAGCCAATAGAACGACAGCCTCGGAAAGGGTGCGCTTGTCCATAACTCACTGACTGGTTAAAACGTAAAGATTTGCCATTATACTAACAAAGTATTTCAAGATATTAATTTAATATGTCGGTTCTTTGCTTTTGTAGATAATAAACCACTAATTGTTTAAAATTACTTACTTCAGAATTGTTTGGGTTATCCATAAGTACTGAACTTTGCTGAATCGAGTCACAAAACTACTGTAAATAGCAGTTTCAGCTGACGCTCTTATAAGTGGCGTAGTAGCACAGGCACACTCAGTAGGATTAAACAAGCGCACCCTTTCCAAGGCTGTCGTTCTATTGGCTGGAAAGGTTGCTAGACGACGATCCAACTGCAATCCGAGAGAGAGCAAAAAAATCCGCAAGCAGAGCCTACGGGTTTGCGAGCGTATCTGAGACTCGAGCAGAGTGCGGTTTGTGCGCGAAGAGAAGGAGGCAAGCGAGAGGAGAAAATATTTGTGTAAGAAGCATTAAATCTGAGAGAAGAAACAAAGATTTGAGAGAGAAGAGAAAATATTTGAGAGAGAGCGCATGTTTTCAGTGTGAGCATTATAAGTTTTGAGTGCAAGAAGATGAAATTTTTTTCTCAAATTGAAATTATGTGGTCTTGTATTATGGCAGGATAATTCTCCCATAGTAGAGTCTCAAAAACCCACTCACAAATGAGGTGAAGTTTAAAGACCAATGATCCTTTTTTATGGATCAGAAATATTTTAGCAAATCATGATCTGATGATTGTAATGTCCTGTGAGGCTGGACTATCTGCAAGGGCATGTCAAGATGGGGAAAACTGATCTTAAAACAGACTTTGCTTACACCCACTGTCAAATTCTGCTAGAATTAATCCGATTTAATGTTATATCATGTGGATGAACCCAAAAAAACAAAGCGGAACTTTACCTCATCCATCTCAATGTGAGCTGTATGGTCATCCAACAGCTGGTGCAGAACTTCAGTCTGATGTTGTTGCTGTACTTGTTCTTTCACTTGCTGGTCTTCCTGAAGTCTTTCAGTAGCTTTTTTGATTTTCTGCTTGGAGGCTTTATTCTCCAAATCAATCAGCTCTTGTATTCTCCTGGTTTGCTCAAGCTCTGCCTGGCGTCTTCTCTCCTCTTGCCTTTTCTTCTGCAGTTCTCTTTGCAAATTCTTTCTTTGTCTTTCCAATTCTCGTTCAAGTTCTCGTTGTTCTCGCAATTCTCGTTCTTGTCTCTTACGTTCTTGTCGTTCTCGTTCTAGTCTCTCCTGTTCTCGCCATTCTCGTTCTTGTCTCTTACGTTCTTGTCGTTCTCGTTCTAGTCTCTCCTGTTCTCTCCATTCTCGTTCTTGTCTCTTACGTTCCCGCCGTTCTTGTTCTAGTCTCTCCTGTTCTCTCCATTCTCGTTCTTGTCTCTTACGTTCTCGCCGTTCTCGTTCTAGTCTCTCCTGTTCTCGCCATTCTCGTTCTTGTCTCTCACGTTCTCGTCGTTCTTGTTCTAGTCTCTCCTGTTCTCTCCATTCTTGTTCTTGTCTCTCACGTTGTTGTTTCTCCCATTCTCGTAACTGTTCTTGTCTTCTTTTTGCCTCTTCCTGTAGCTTTCTCTCCAGCTCTGCCTGGCGCTTCTCCTCCTCTTCCTTCTTCCTGAGCTGGTCTTCTCGTTTCTGTCTTTCGCGTTCTTCTCTCTCTCGTTTCTCTTCTGCAATTCTTGCTGTGAAGAGTTTAAGAAAAAGATTCTTGAGTTATTTCACTCCATATTTATTCTAAACACGTCCATGCAGCACAATCTATATATAATATGAATATAAATATCTTAGCTAGTGGTGGGCCATGGTCACTGTTAATCTATTCTCAAAGTTGGGTTGGGAGCTGGGTCTGTACTAATGATGCCTTTGCTTTGATATTGTAGCATGTTTGCCAGCAGGAAAGTAACTCACGCTGAAGCTAAGGTCCAGTCGCAAAGCTCTTTATTTATGCAACACAAAAAAACAGAAAATGCTTCTTCCTTTATATGCAACTGGTGAAACATTCTTCCGATGGTGCCAATGTTAACACAACAGACCTACCAACATAAAAAACCCTCTTTAGCACAAAACCAAAACAAACTAAGCTAACTTTTTTGGCTTTGGATTTAGTCTTATTGAGTTTTTTTGTTGGAAAACTTTTTTTGTTTATGTTTTTCTTTTAGGTTAACATTATAGTGCATAAACAAAAGAAAAAAACAACAAAAAATGCAGATAAACATGGTTTAATCCTATTTTGCCGGACTACTCTGAATATGTTAGATGATGACGTCACACAAGCATTTTAACAGAGAAAATGTAAAAAGCATCAAAATTGTCTCAGAAAAAGTCATAAACATACATTCTTAAAGGTGTATGTTACCATTCTTTAGTGAGTTAAGGATAGAAATAAGTAATTTTAGTACCATAATTCCATTATTTATTGAAAACCGGATGTGTATCTGGTTGCGCATACTCAAAAGAGCCGATGGTACGGATCGTGCTTCCGGGACGGATCAACTAGTGACCACCACTTATGCTACGTTCAAACCGCAGGCACTAGAGAAAGCAGAAGCAACTAGTTTACATGCAAAGCTAATGGCTGAGGCGAATCAAGGCGCAGCAAAGGTCCAGCGCAATTAAGCAGTTGAAGCAATGCGTCATTAGCTTCTGAGCATCTGACACGCTGTGAAAGCAGTAGCTGCTGGAGTTGGAAAAATTGAACTTTTGCTGCTCAGCACGCAACCAATCAGAGAAGCTGATCTGGCAGGGAGAGAGACACAGCACTGCTGATGCAGATTGCTATGATAACTCATCTAAAACTGTTTATTAACGCCTTAATTAACTTAAAATTTCGAAACCTGTCGGCAAAATTTGTTGGCTTTTATTATTTTGATGCCTGCAGTTTGGATTATGAACGTGAAAAATAACAGTAGTTAGAACAGTAGTGGAAAACTGTAAAGAGGCAACCGGGCCAGTGGCTGCCGTTGAATGGGATTTCCAGTGGCAGAACACCAGCGGTCTGAGCTGTCTGAAAGCAAAATGATATTTGAAGGCAGGATCATAATCTTGATGAACTGACTGCACAGATGAAGTTTCAGGTGGACTTTCTCACTTAAAAAAAATTAAAACTACTTTATACCCACTTATAACAGCAAATATAGCAAAGTCGCTCCCTACCAATGAACACAGGAGCAGCAGAAGCATCTCATGCATGTAGATACACTTTACTGAATGCGCCCTGGGAGCATCAAAGTCACTCTTGACGCACATCTGACCTTAACTTGCACAAGCATTAAAAATGAAGCAACATAAGCTTTTTTGTTGCTTCCAGTACTTGTGGTCTGAACATAGCAAAAGTGTGCATATCCAACAGATAAAAGCAACATGGGTCATTTGTTGACCTCTGACCCTACATGGGCCCAATCCACTCATGCATAAAAAGGTGGCTGAAAACTTGAATTTGCTGCATTTTCTGCTTCAGTTTCTAGAAATCCATCCATCCATCCATCCATCCATCCATCCATCCATCCATCCATCCATCCATCCATCCATCCATCCATCCAT